GCAGTCTATTGCCAAACTGCTATACTAATAATTCACTGTCAATATGCGCTTAAGGTAAGCTTCCACAGTTTAGCTTCAAAAAAGCTCAATAGCCAGCACTAGTTGGCTGTTATCTTGACTGGCAGACAGACGTCTGCAATTAGCGCGCCGCACTCGGGCAGACAGGCAACTAGCGAGCACATTTAGTGGCTGCTTCAACGTTAGCTGCTTCAGCTGCTGCTGTTGGTGCTGGAGCTGCTGCTGCTGCTGCTGCTGCGGCTGCAACAAAGTGGTTGCCTGGCTAGGCGCCGTCAAAGCAGTTGATGTGGCATACTGTACCATGACACCGTTTCAGACAGCGCAAACAGCGCACGGCTATGAGTGACTGACTGAGTGACTGGCTGTCCGGCGGACTGACTGATACATTCATTTGGCTGCTCTTGTGCACGTAGCCAGAGCCTGTGGCAACATCAGCAGCAGCAGCAGCAGTAGCAGCAGCAGCAGTAGCAGCAGCAGCAGCAGCGGCGGCAACAAACAAGCCGCCACTTGAGTTGCCAAACCAATTGGCGCTAACGGCAACTGCAGCGGCGCTGCCTTTGCCTTTGCATGTCAAAAGTCATCACCTTTATCGCTTTGCAGCATCACGGCTCACTCTACTCTGCGCTCTTGGACTATCCAGCATCAGCAGCCATTTAGCCGGCTGCATTAGCTGTGGCAATATTATGACTGCAGCGGCAGTCCGACTCGAGGGCTTTGTCGTCCTGGCAGCCAGTTGTCCTGGCAGTCAAGTATATTGTAATTCATAATCCGGCGATTTAGTTGGCATAAGACACAAACGTTTTATTCCTTGTTGTGGTTGGGCTCGGGCTTAAGACCCGAATGCTACCAACAGTTTCAACAGCTCCGGCAGAGCTCCAGCAGCTCCAACAGTTTCAACTGCAGCAGCAACGTCTTCGCCGTCGTCTTGGCCTTGGTCGAAAAATTTTGACACTGATTGTGTTTGTACTTGGCTGGAGTTTCTGGGGAAGAGGGG